GCCTTCGTACTGTCACAGAATTCCGTTGGCCGATGCTATATCGGATCGCTTGATGGTCACTATGGGTATATCCTTCACACACTCTCCAATCCATGTTTTCCACCAGCAACGGACTACAGAAAGTAACGTCGATAATGGATTCCCGACTATCACTGCTAGTGCCTTTATTGGCCAGCATATCTTCCAGTTTTGCCAGAGCTTCCTCCCTCTTGCATTGGAAAATTTGCTTCCTCACTCCACAGCCCAAGCATTGAAGTCTCCTCGGATGACTACCGGTCGTCGTCCGATCAGCTCTTCGGTAAGTCCATCCAGCATCTCATGGAACTTCTCCATCGTGCATCTGGGGGGTGCGTAACAACTACACATGAAGATTCCGTTCATTTTGGCGATCACGAAACCTTCGTATGAGCTCGCAACCACTTCTTGAATGGAGTATCTGCCCATAACTTGTATAGCAGCCATCCCAACCCTATCCACCACCCAGTTACCGTTATCGGAAGGGACTCGATACGGCTCCACAATGATTGCAACATCCCACTTTGTTTCTGTTGTCGACTGCCACAACAGTTGCTGAGCAATGTCGCAATGGCTTGCCATCGCCTTTTCGTATGCTAGGCATTTGAAGCCTCCCGTCGTATGATCGTTACCGTCCTCTTTTTTGCAGAGCATACACCTCAGTTGCATCGTGCAGCCTCTTGCAATATGGCCTTTCTCTTCGTATTTCCTGCACAGATCCCCCGAGGAGTGGCTTTCAGCAAGCACACTGACCAGCCAACCTTGACCTTGCCCGCCTCCAACAGCGTATTCGCTGCAACTGTCGAAAGCCGTATCACCGCCGTTTGCATGCCGCCGTACGCCTTCCTCATCCGGATTGACATCGGGGCATCTCCCAGATCGCAGTGCACTCTCAGCGCACTTCTTAGCTCCTCCTCTGTAGTGATCTCGTCCAGGTTCCTGCACTCGACCACTGTCTCTTGGGATAGAGCTCTTACACTCGTCCCTTCGCAAAGAGACTTTTCGACGAGCTCCTTGAATGCTGAGCTCTTGATCGCAGGATCCTTCTTCAGCTCAAAGAGCATCTCGCCTTTCTGAGTGCACCTGGTTTTCACCACTTTCTCTCCTAGTTCCTTCAACTCCGGATTCTCTCGAACCTTCCGGAGGAGTGCTGCATACGACGTTTTGTCTTTTGCTTCGACGATAAGAGCATCGCCCTTACTTCGCTCCCGACGGGTCCTGGGTATCTCGTTCTTCTGTTCTTCTTTCTTCTTCACTTCTTTTTCCTTCCGTTTTTTCCAATTCTCCTTCGGCTTCTCGACGGTATGCCATCCTTCCTCCATGTCGTTCTTGACTTTTTTCCACTTTTCTTCCTCTTCTGGCGTTTCCCTTTTTCTCTTCTCCGAGCGTAGATTTCGAGGTCCCTTCGGCGTCTCTCCTTGGCCTCGATCAGCGCCCTTTCGGCAGTCACGGATCTCGTCCTAAGCGCATCCTGTTCACGTTCGGCAGCAATCACGGTGGATTTGATGCCCGTCACCATTTCCTTTATTGCCTTGTGGACGTTGCTCTTATCTTTGATGAAGACATGGAGTTCAACTCTCTCTACAATGTTGTATTTATGGTCATTGTAGACAGCTTTAGTCCGGGAGTTAGAAGGTGATAGCTCTATTGCAGAGCAGCAACCCATTTCAGAATGTCTGGAGAGTCACGCCCATTCCGAGGTTACTTTCACTCACAATAGGCTCCGCATGTATGCATCACCGTTATCAAATGGATATTGGTTATATATATATAGTACACGATCCAAGTTCAAAAATATTCTTTTCAACCCTGGCATGTATTTATTTAGTTTAATTTTGATATTTAATTTGTAAATAAAAATTTGGACAGCTCTCACCATATTCTGCTCTTCCGTCGCCGTTAATTGCTTCCTTTATAATCCCTTGGACTTTTTCTCTAACGCTTCATATTTCATTCCGTGCTTCACCGGCAATTTCTGGCGTAGATCGGTGTAGATCGTCCTTGGTAGTTTCTAACATGATTCGGCCGTTTCCGGGTTTTTCTTGTTTTTCGAGGGAGATAAATCCACACTAATTTCCTTTCCTGGTTCGATGTTGACTCCTTCCTCGCTGGTTGGTGTGGTCGGTTTCATGTCCACCATCTGTCACTGAATTGCCATGATGATCTGGGACGAGGCTCACGCCCAAAGTCGCTGGTCCACCGAGCACTCCGTGTGCGAAAAGAGAATGAAAGAAACACGAAAGGGATCCGTTTCAAGACGTGACAGTTTCATCAGATTCCCCAACTAACCATACTCAAGCAAAGTAAGAATATACAAGCTAAATTGCGACTATATGGTTACTTGGGTACTCATATGGTCGTCAGAATGGTTCCTCGGTTGCGAAGTCTGGCAAGCGATTTGCAGTTGTCGCCTGAAAACGGAACCATTCGTCACATCCTCGACGATGACATCCCAAGTTTACATGCAAGAATGTCTGGAAAACGTGTATTGCCGTTCATCGGCAAGCATAGGTGTTGGTCCTGCAAACTCATCTGCGTAGCTTCCAAAGAATCAACTCAGTAAGAAATCCTTTGGAATTATTCTTAATTATTGTTCAGAGTGCCCTTTGAATTATATTTATTCCCTTGAAATTCCAATCACTTTCATAGTTTCCAAAGAATTCGCTTGCAGCGAAGGAACAAATTCCATAAATGTATCATTAACATTGTTTTGGAATTATTTTCAGACTTAATTGTAATCGTCCTTTTAGCATACACCCGAAGCTTTTTCGAAAATTTCCATGGAATTCTGCTCCGGATTATTTTTCTCCCTGAAACTTCTTGAAATTATCCTCATAATTATTTTGGAATTCTTCTTAGAATTTCCTTGGAGTCCTCTTCAGAATACATTAGGAATTAACTTCGGAGATTCGTACGGATTTTCATTTCTTTCGAATCCTATTCAGGGTTTACTTGGAATTCTACTCAGAACTACCTTGGAATTCAGGTATCATATAGAATCTGAAGCTCTTCAGGACTACCTTGAAAGCAGATTGCACTTGATGTTTTTCTCAAAGTTCTTCCCAGAACTCCCTTGGACGGACTTTCTTAGCAATGAGCATCTAATTTCATGTGCCTTGTTATTTATGAAATTCAAATCTGTGATCTTAGAAAATACACAGGAAATAGGTTCTTGAAAGTTTCTAAATTTACCTCTGTCTGAGATCGGCAGACGGATTTCTTAAAGCTCTGAATCAAAGCACAGGATCTGAATCTAAATTGTTTTATTTAATAGAAGAAAGACCAAATGCTCACCAAGCTACTCTAATGACCACACATCATACGAATGGAACATTAGAAATGGAGCGAGTGACTCGACATGTGATAAGCGTGTCCGGAATGATTTGAGATTAACGCGTTATTGGATTTGTAAACAAACAAACACGTCAATCGCTGATTTCTAGCGAGTAAAAACTCAATCTCTTAAGCAAACTATGCCAAAGGATAGAGGATTGATTCCTCTATCATTTGGAATAGCTTGTTTACGAGATTGAGCTTTAATCGTGCGAAACTGGAGATTTACGTGCTTGTTTATATTTTCAATACGCCCAAATCTCAAAACACTCCGGATGAACCGTCAAATTTGCATTTGTGCGACTTTTAGAATTTCTATTCACCGATACCACGTCTTCAAGGTAACCTGTTTTAAGCCAAGCGGCTTGAGCTTCGAATGAGTTTCATGTATTCTCGCAAATCAATACAAACGACTAGAAAATAATCAACTAGGGTAAGTGTGCCAGTTTTTGGCCCTAGTGATCTTTTGATATTTTTTTATATTCTTCATCAGATGCATTTCGAGGCAAGGCTTAGAACATCGATTTTCCCTTATATTTACGCAAATATAGCCATTATAATTCATTTCAAATTTGAGATAGATCCTTGGGCCAAAAAATGGAGCTTTAATGCCTTAACTGGCACACATACCCTACCAGTAGATTGATTGTGCCTCTTTATTTCCAACAATTTCGGCCATGTTAATTACTGAAAATGTGTTTCGTTTCGTTATCTGAGCAATCGGAGTTAAAAGTCGTTCATTATGATTTCACTTGTTACAGTTGCTTCAAGTAGGTATATTCAAAATTCGTTCTCGAAAAAATCCGATACAATAGAAACGCTGCCGTTCAGGCAGTTTTTGAGTAACATTTTTCAAAATTTCACTGAATCAAGCTAAGCGTTTATAGAATCACAGTAGGCATTGGTTGTCAGGATAGTTTCATTTGTTTACATCATGGCTTCACCGAAACAAGCACGTCGTGATTAGATCCTAAAAGCTCGAAAGGAAAATCCACGTTTTATCAGCTCCTGGCAGTTTTCGAACAAACTGTATACCTCGGTTGACCGGAAGAGAAAATCAAAAAGAAGCCGAAATTCTCCAAAAAGTTCCTTGTCTGGAAGGCAATCTGCAGTTGTGCAAATTTACCAGGAGGACTACCTACGGAAGAGACTACTGCCTTTTCTGGAGCAGCATGCCTATTCTGGCCGGACTCAAATTCCACCAAACAGAGGCACAGCAAAAATGGCGTCACAGTGGAACTGCAATTGACCTGAAGGGTTTCAAGCGGAAATGGAATTTGGCAGCCAAACAAGTGAGAACAGGGTTCGTGCAAAAGAGGATGGACCGTGTACGCTGAAAAGTTTGAGCAATGGTCTATAAGCATAATACCTACTAATGTATAGCTGTTACAATGAACTATGAAAATTACAACGCATTTTTAAACCCCAACAAGATTTTCGTGTTCAACCTTTATTCAAACAGAGAAAACAAGAAAGCCAACCCCATATCACGCAAAGCCATCGGCACGGAGATTCCCTCCTCGGTCAAAATGACTTCGCACTCGGAATGAAATTCAGACATCATCGTTGTTTTTTTTTTTGCTTCGCTTAATTTACAGCTATAGCACCGAATTAAAACGCGGAACCGGTTTCCCCGATCGCTTAGTTGCTTCCAGGCGGGTGCACGATCAACATTGCTATCAGTTCTGGAGTTCAGCAAATAACATCAGCAATGGTTGGCTTGTCTGTGGTACTTCTGTTGGTGGTGCTAGTTCAAGGTAAGGTGTAATTATTCCTGACTTTACCGAAAGGTCATCTGACATTGTGTTGTTGTCCAGTCATTTCAGGTCAGGAAATAGCGCAGCAAAGTAAGTATTTGTGTTATCGATGATGGTGAGGATAATAATCATATGTACTTGATATGACCGTGTGACAGAATGTGCCGAGTTTCGTAAGAAGACGATTAAGGTAACGTCGATAATTCCGCTGACTCTCAATCCAAACCCGATTAAGTACTCCAGTTTTAACTGTTCCAAAACGGTGGATCTGATCGTGGGAGGAGAAGCTACGAAGCCGAATGAGTTCCCCCACCAGGCGCTGCTCGGTTGGCGACAAGCGGACGATTCCAACGAGTACAGGTTCGATTGCGGAGGATCACTGATCAGCGAGCGCTACGTCCTGACAGCTGCGCACTGTTTCAAGAATGGATACCCGGACATAGTTCGTCTGGGAGAGCACAACCTGAACGATGACAGCGATAACCAAGTTGATTTTGAGATAGAATCGTTTTCAAAACATCCGCTGCATAGATATGCCTTCTCTTATCACGACATTGCGCTTGTCAAGCTAGTTGAGAATGTAAGATTCTCGAAAGTCATTCGACCGGCTTGTCTGTGGACTGGGATGAATCTGAATGTGAGCTCTGTTATCGCAACGGGATTCGGACTGTTACAAACAGGTAAGTGAAAATTGTAAACGAGTGCTGTAACGAAAAATAGCGAACTTTCTTTTCTGAATTTCAGCTGGCGACAGTTCGGAAGTGCTTCGGAAGGTGATGTTAGACATTTTGGATAGGCAAGAATGCGAAGAAATGTTCATAGATAGGCGCTTCAAGAACGGAATCATTGATGGACAACTCTGCATAGGAAGCAAACGAGGCGGAAAAGATACCTGCCAGGGAGATTCCGGTGGTCCAATTCAAGTGATAACGGAGCCCAAAGGATGCATCTATCATGTGATAGGCGTTACCTCGACGGGTGCTGCCTGTGGAATCAACCGATCACCTTCGATCTACACTCGGGTGGCAAGCTACATGGACTGGATCGAAGACATCGTGTGGAACAATGGTCAAGGACAAAAGTAGAGCGGGGCTAACTTCTAAGTAATTCAAATAAAAAGAAAACATACTTCCTGTAAGCTCCAAACTCATTCACGATAAACATACCGGAATATTGTCCTCGCAAAGGTACCCTTCAGTTAGGGTTACCATATCAAAAAAAAATGAAAAGGAGGTTATTTCATTTGAGGTTTGGATACTAAGGAGTACAATGATTCCTTTTCTTAACATTAAATGAGGACAATGAGTTTTTATCAAACGTTTTAATAATATGTGCGGTATCAACCTCTCCTCGTGGATCCTCAACGAAGAAAGTTCTTTAGAATGAACTGCATCAAGGGGTTGTAGCTGTTGGTTTTTTTTTTTTCTTGAAAGCTGGATAAGCAACAGTTGCATGTATCGGAGCCAACAATTCGTTGATTAAAAATCCTCGATCAGCCATTACGAAATCTCCTTCTTCAATGTAGTTCAAAAATCCAGAAGATTTCACGATTTCTTTGTCCGAAGCTCGTCCGCCAAAGGCTTCAGATACATACAATATGGATCCAGATGCGCTGACTCCGATCAACACTTTGATAGTGTTGTGCTTTTTATAATTAGAAAACACGTTGGCACTAGCAATCATGGCTCTAGAATTTGGCGATTCAATATGTATTTCGAAGCAGTCAATGATCACTGTAACAGCATCGTTGTATTTCTTTCGGAATGCTGACGGCATATGCTGCTTCAACACGTTTCGAGACGGAAATCTTACGAAAGCGTTCATAAACGGGTAAATCGCGTTAATCGTTTCGTAAAAATATTTGGAAATAGTCGTTTGGTTTAAATTGTACAGGTATCCAAGAGTACAAAATGGTTCGTTCAATCGTAATTTACGCAGTGTCAATATCAAGGTTTTCTCTTTGTCCATTCCTTCAAAATCCGGTATATCTTGCTGCAATGACTCGTAGAGACGCTTTAATGTTAGCCCACAGCTAAGCCCCGTAAAGTAACGGCATTTTTTGTCGTTTGCTTCGAGCGTAGACATTGAAAGCTGTGTAGCTTCTTTTGCGTCATTCAAATCCCGCTGTAGTTTATCTTGGTGATCTCGAAGGGAAGTGACTTCTTTCTCGGATCGTTCTAGCGCAAACTTCCATTGCTCCACTTCCTTTTCCATACATGTTTCCGTTTGGACGCATACGTCACTGTAATAAACAACCTTCGATGGCACATTGGACGATTCTGTTCCGTTTGGTTGACATCGATTCATGACGGTCAAATTATCAGCTCCTGTTGTTGTTGATTGTTGACAATTTAGCCAGATGATATCATCAAGAGGGAACTGATTTTGAACGGCGAGTCCAGCAATCCTGTAATGGTAATTAAATACATTTATTAGAGATGTGAAACTAAATTGTTCATTATTTTAGTAGAATATCAAATCTTGCTTCTTTGTGCTTCTACTGTGTGAACAGTTTCTTTCAAAATTTTGTATGGAGCAGAGGTACGTGATATCTTTCTTTATTATACACGTGATCAATGGATAGTTCTTTATTCAGTACGTACTCATTCGTTTCGACTGCTGCAATAGACGCCTTGTAAGTTCCAGATTGATCCATGAACGAGCTAGAAGTGGATAGAACCGAGGGTGAAACATCACTCAAGCTGTATGCGCCACCAGGGATGCCTTTCGTTGCTGCATTCAATCGTAGACATCCACTTTCGATTAATTGAAACGATAGCCTGAAAAATATTTGCGTTAACATTAGATTAAAACCTAACTCCTTCATATTAGAGCATACTCTTGACTGATCTCCAATTCGGTCCCCGATTCGTTTTGAAATGTGTGATTCAATTCATGAAGATCACAATTTCCTTCAGATATTGGTTCGCCACTTGTGTCTTGCTGATTTACAGGCGGGTCCAAATCAATATTTATGTCCACGGTTGAGGTTGATTCATCATTGCTCTCCTGCTGATTCACAGACGTATCGAAACTGATAGGACTGCTCTCCGGGTACTCCACAGAATTTGTTGAACACCCAGAGTCAAGCTGATGATCACTCTCAGATCCCATCGTCATAGTAAGCAAATTATCAGTTGTATCCTGCAGATTCAAAGTAGGAGCCCAATCGACATCATTATCCTCCAAAAGCTTTGCAGGCTTCCCGGAGACGAAGTGCCGAACTACAGACACGATGATGGGGGCCGGAGTTTTGGTCAAGCCACACACTTTCACCCAAACTACAAGCCGCATTTTGGCCAAATTCCGCTCTGATTCACTGAACCGTTTGTATACCGCTGGAAGCCGGAACATCCGATACGTTTTATCGCTTGAATAAACGTAGCACGAAGGAATCACACACCTTAAAACCATTTTTGAATTCACGTAAATTTTTATTCGGAAGAGTTGAAATAGTTTGACAGCTGATTTTGTGGATGAAAATAATAAACAAATCGATTCTACACGGCTACACGAGTTAAGGTGGTGTTAGTGAGATCTTGCAACAAGAAGTCTATTGCTTCTTATGTGATGAGACAACCAATTTGGCTGTCTTTCCAAACTTTTTCAGAACACAGTTATTGAGTTCATCCAGTATTAAGAAAATATGGGTGATCAGCTACCATTTGCATTGTAAAACTCAGTTTTCACAAAAACTGCTATGGGACCGATATGCGAAGAGCGGCAGTATAGCTGTAAGTTAAGCGAAGCAAAAAAAAAACAACAATGATGTCTGAATTTCATTCCGAGTGCGAAGTCATTTTGACCGAGGAGGGAATCTCCGTACCGATGGCTTTGCGTGATATGGGGTTGGCTTTCTTGTTTTCTCTGTTTGAATAAAGGTTGAACACGAAAATCTTGTTGGGGTTTAAAAATGCGTTGTAATTTTCATAGTTCAATGTAACAGCTATACATTAGTAGGTATTATGCTTTTCCGTGTACACGGTCCATCCTCTTTTGCACGAACCCTGTTCTCACTTGTTTGGCTGCCAAATTCCATTTCCGCTTGAAACCCTTCAGGTCAATTGCAGTTCCACCCTTTTTCTTCAGTATGTGCTTCACAATTGACCACTGTGACGCCATTTTTGCTGTACCTCTGTTTGGTGGAATTTGAGTCCGGCCAGAATAGGCATGCTGCTCCAGAAAAGGCAATAGTCTCTTCCGTAGGTAGTCCTCCTGGTAAATTTGCACAACTGCAGATTGCCTTCCAGACAAGGAACTTTTTGAAGAATTTCGGCTTCTTTTTGATTTTCTCTTCCGGTCAACCGAGGTATACAATTCCCATCAGTTTGTTCGAAAACTGCCAGGAGCTGATAAAACGTGGATTTTCGTTTCGAGCTTTTAGGATCCAATCGCGACGTGCTTGTTTCGGTGAAGCCATGATGTTAACAAATGAAACTATCCTGACAACCAATGCCTACTGTGATTCTATAAACGCTTAGCTTGATTCAGTGAAATTTTGAAAAATGTTACTCAAAAACTGCCTGACCGGCAGCGTTTCTATTGTATTCGGATTTTTTCGAGAACGAATTTTGAATATACCTACTTGAAGCAACTCTTACGAGTGAAATCATAATGGACGACTTTTAACTCCGATTGCTCAGATCACGAAACGAAACTCATTTTCAGTAATTAACATGGCCGAAATTGTTGGAAATAAAGAGGCAAAATCAATCTACTGGAAGGGTATGTGTGCCAGTTAAGGCATTAGTGCTCCATTTTTTGGCCCAAGGATCTATCTCAAATTTGAAATGAATTATAATGGCTATATTTGCGTAAATATAAGCCTTGCATCGAAATGCATTTCGAAGAGAATAAAAAAATATCAAAAGATCACTAGGGCCAAAAACTGGCACACTTACCCTAGTTGATTATTTTCTAGTCGTTTGTATTGATTTGCGAGAATACATGAAACTCATTCGAAGCTCAAGCCGCTTGGCTTAAAACAGGTTACCTTAAAGACGTGTGATCGGTGAATAGAAATTCTAAAAGTCGCACAAATGCAAATTTGACGGTTCATCCGGAGTGTTTTGAGATTTGGGCGTATTGAAAATATAAACAAGCACGTAAATCTCCAGTTTCGCACGATTAAAGCTCAATCTCGTAAACAAGCTATTCCAAATGATAGAGGAATCAATCCTCTATCCTTTGGCATAGTTTGCTTAAGAGATTGAGTTTTTACTCGCTAGAAATCGGCGATTGACGTGTTTGTTTGTTTACAAATCCAATAACGCGTTAATCTCAAATCACTCCGGACACGCTTATCACATGTCGAGTCACTCGCTCCATTTCTAATGTTCCATTCGTATGATGTGTGGTCATTAGAGTAGCTTGGTGAGCATTTGGTCTTTCTCCTATTAAATAAAACAATTTAGATTCAGATCCTGTGCTTTGATTCAGAGCTTTAAGAAATCCTAGACTGCCGATCTCAGACGACAGAGGTAAATTTAGAAACTTTCAAGAACCTATTTCCTGTGTATTTTCTAAGATCACAGATTTGAATTTCATAAATAACAAGGCTCATGAAATTAGATGCTCATTGCTAAGAAAGTCCGTCCAAGGGAGTTCTGGGAAGAACTTTGAGAAAAACATCAAGTGCAATCTGCTTTCAAGGTAGTCCTGTAGAGCTTCAGATTCTATATGATACCTGAATTCCAAGGTAGTTCTGAGTAGAATTCCAAGTAAACCCTGAATAGGATTCGAAAGAAATGAAAATCCGTACGAATCTCCGAAGTTAATTCCTAATGTATTCTGAAGAGGACTCCAAGGAAATTCTAAGAAGAATTCCAAAATAATTATGAGGATAATTTCAAGAAGTTTCAGGGAGAAAAATAATCCGGAGCAGAATTCCATGGAAATTTTCGAACAAGCTTCGGGTGTATGCTAAGAGGACGATTACAATTAAATCTGAAAATAATTCCAGGAGACTTCTGACTTGAATTCCAAAACAATGTTAATGATATATTTAAGGAATTTGTTCCTTCACTGCAAGCGAATTCTTTGGAAACTATCAAAGTGATTAGAATTTCAAGGGAATAAGTATAATTCAAAGGGCACTCGGAAATGAA